TCAGTAATCGATAAATCCAAAAAAAAGTTGCAAATATTTAAGCTTCAGATGTTAGTAATTATGTACAGTAGATTTAATAGAAATCAGTACAGAGAATAAGGAAGTTCAATAACGAATAATTGTCGATCTATAATACATTAGATCATTTCTAAAACATTTCACTCTCACATATAAAAGGAAAAAGAAAAATAAATAAATAAATAAAATCTAGTTGGTGCAATCGAAACCGCGGCAAACAGAAAGCCAGATAATGAGCACCAAGAGGAGTATAATCCCAAGCACAACTAACTTAACTTTCATGTTTTGGTACCACATCTTTCGTCGGATTTCAGTGCCCTTTTTCTTAAATTCTTGGGCCTGCGAGAAGAAGGAACGAGAGTTCAGGGGTATGCATGCAAATAAAATCTAACATCGTTCTTATAGAAAGAAAGGGTCCGCATACCGAATAACGCAGGTCTTCGGCCTTGTCGTTAAGAACGGTCAGGTTTTCACCTCTTTCGATAGTCTAAAAAAGTGCATACAGCATTATTTAGTGAAAAACAACGATCAAATCCTCATGATCGATAACAAGTTTATTGTGAAATCAAAAGTCAATGAGATCAATATGTTAACATGTATACGAGTTTAGTTCAATTCATATACCTTGTCTATATTCTCCAGCATAATGCTTTTGACTTCCGAAACTTGGGCCTTAACTTTCAATAGTTTCACTATTTCATCCGCATGGTCGATAATATATTGCATGTGCTCTTTCATTAGAGGCCTGCGATTGCAAGGTTTTTTATCAATAAAAAAATATTTTCTTGTAACTCCAATGTCAAAATATTAATGAGTAATTACCCGAATTCTTTGTTCAAACTTTTTGCAACTGCTGTATCTGCTTTACCACCGCCGTATCTTTTCTTGAAATCGGCTTTGATACGTTCCAATAATGCAATCGAGATTTGTTTTCCGACAGATTCTTTAGCAACTACACAGTAAGCTGCATATGATATTTAACCAATGGTATCAGGTGGCGGAGTACGAAGTTGCACATACATTCTTCATGGACAAGTGCAAAATGCTACCCCTTATGTATAGACTAATTACATAAAAGCCCAAAATTATGTTTTAAATTACAAGTTAACCTCCCTTGAGGCAGCATTACAAACACGATCTTTAGAGGATTGCATATCCTTCATATTTCCCCTCTTTCAGGGTGCAATGGTTGAACATAAACAAATATCAAGGGGTTATTCATATTCAAAATTGACAAAAATTTTCGGTAATTAGACTATGCGCTCAAGAGTGTTCTTCCTAATCACCAAGGAAATCCATATATACACTAATTACTCATCAGCATATCTAAGTAAAATTAAGTAAAACTAAGTAAAATCCGAAAGAGTTGGGTTAGAGGGGAAATTGTGAAACCACTATTTTATGGACTGCCAATTGATCCGCACTTTCCAGGAAGATGTAAAAGTCAAATCCAATTATATTTAAAAATTTCGAGTTTTCATTCCGTTGCTCTACGATCGTGTATATGCTACTTATTACTATGCGGAGGATAAAACTGCCCCATAAAAATTGAATTCTCTTAACTACTACATGCAGCGGCCGAAGATGAAACCTCTCAAAATTTAGCCACCCAAATATTTATGAACATGTTCCTTGTTTGAACATAAGGTTCATGCACTTCGAACAAGCTTTTAGAGTTAGAAACTTTATAAGCATGCTGAATTTAGATGTTTGCAGAATTCAAAAAATACACATTGCATTTGATCCATGAAAATGAAGTAACTTTGTTTAAAAGAACATACTACGAGGGAAAAAATACACAAATGAAGGCATCTTAAATTACATTCATCTGGATTCAATTTACGACCCTGATACATCTGTACAAAAATTGATCAAGATTGTCCCAAGAGGTAACAACGATATACTCATTTTCAGCAATCATCTATATTTCTCAACACCATTGATCAATCTACACATACAAATCTAGCCCGAGTATATAAGTTTTTCCCTCATTAATACAGCAGAGACGGGCCCTAACCGCTCGATGCAAACGATGTTTCAGTTAGGAAGCTTCAATTATATTTGTCTTCTTCGCGAAACAATTGCAGAAGCAGTGAAAGAACTATATTCATATAACCATAAGAATAAGTATCATGCATCATCCCTATGATATTTCACCTCTTTGGAATCAAACTATCATTAGATCAATACCCCAAATCTCCAGCAGCCCAAACTTTCAGCATAAAAATAAATTTCAAAGCACGAAAATTTGGCTAAGTTGCTTATACAGCGGCTTAAACTGTCTTTTTCTAACTTTCTACCTCAGATCTAAGAAACCCAATTCGAATTTCAGACAGAATTCACCCAAAAAAATTTTCTAAACCAACAAAATCACAGACGATAGAGAAACTATGAAAGATCTGAACAGCTCAATTTAGCATTAAAAAAAAAAAAAAAGATTAAAGAAAAAGAAGAGAGAGAAATTACCATAGCCATCTTCAACGAGAAAGTTAAAAATGTGGTTATCACACTTGTAAGTGAACTTGTTGTTGGAAGACGGCAACCTCTGCAAACACTGGGCTGCAATCGCCGGAAAGTTGCCGGTGAACTCGGTGTACTCCGCCAATACCATCGTGCCACGTGCCACGAAGCTGTATATGAACGATTCCTGCCCGCCCATGGCTGATTGGGCTCCCGAAAACCGATCACCGGAGTGAGTAATTTTGTCGGAGCTGCCTTTTTCCTTGTTTTGCGTTGGTCTCTCCGCTTTCTGCCTGAGGACAAAGATGTTTAAGAATGCAATTTAATCTTTGATTATGTTTTAGGTTTTATTATTATTACTCTTTCTTCAATCCCTTTGCTTCACTCTATTTAAATTTTTACAACGTTTTTCATTTTTTGTCTTCTTTTATTCACGCGTAAAATTTGATGGAACCTTCTTCGTGTAACGTTATTATTTTTTTTTTTTTTCCCTAAGAAGTTCAAAACTTAGAAAAAAAAAAAAAAATAGTGTATACACCTCGCTCTTCTCTCAATAATAAAAACGAGTTAATATAGTTAGCGAGGGCTGTAAACGAGTCGAGCTCGAGTTTAAAGTGTTCAAGCTTGAGTTCGAGCTCTTGATGAGCCGAGCCGAGCTGAGTTTGACTGGTTAAATAAATGAGTCAAAAATCGAGCTCGAGCTTAGCTCAGCTCGTTAAGGTCTCGAACTCGAACCTTAACGAGTCGAACCATCAAAAATTATATAAATTTCTCTTTTGAGTCTTAATGAATCTTATCACCCGTGTTGAGCTCGAATCATTAACCAAATGAGCTTTAAATGAGTCGAGTTGGGGACGTTAAGACCTCGAACTCAAGCCGAGCTGAGCCAGACTCGTTTATTTTAACAGCACTATAGTGGACATTTGTTTTCAGTTTTAATATTTCATATGTTTTGATAGACAATTTTGTGCGGTATATAAAGCCCATTAAAGTTTTTTAAGTATGGGAAAATGCTATAGTTTCGTTATGAAACCATTTTATGGGGATTTGTAACCAGTAAATCATCATATAACCATCGTGGATAATTAATCTAACGGTTAACAAACTCCGACAAAACGATTTCGAACCGTAGGATCTCCTTCCATTAAGTATATATTGTTTTCCCATTAACAAAACGTGTATTTTCATCATCTTATTAATGTAGCCATATTTTTGTTGTAATTATAACCGAATTTTTTTTTATTTAAAAGTTTAAAAATGAAATAATTAAAATTATTTTGTCGTGACCATGTCAAGTCTAGAACTGTTCAAATTCATTTTGGGAGTTTCCGTGTTACGTCCCTTGTGGATATTTTCTCTTGCTTGGCAACTAAGGTATGTGTAATATTTGGATTCCTTAATTAGATTAGAATTGAGGGAAAGAATAGGAAAGAAAAAAAAAAGTCATTTCATATTTTCAGTGGAAAAAATCTAAAATTAGTTAAAAAAAAATCTATTCTTTGTATAATATATTATATAAAAAGATAAGGTTACTATTAATACCTCTGCATTAATGTTTGTTGTTTTAAAATGGAAAAGGCTACTTGTACAATTTTTTTGTACAACGTTCAATGACAACATGATGTGGCACAATGTTGGTGGTTGAGGTGTAAATAAATGTATGATTAAGATTTAAGTTAATAGTACTTGTAACTATGTTGTCAACTAATGTTGTAAAATTGTACATGTAACATTGCCCGAATGAAATATGTATATCAAATTCATCACCTTATTATGATTTTCAATTTAATATCCACAATATACAAATAAACATTACTATCTCCTATTTTTAATATATGTCATTTTGAGAAGTTGCACGTTAATTAAGAATATTTTTTTGTCAATAATGACCTTATTTAATGAAGATAGAGATGAATGTTTTGAGAAAAAGTGAAGAGTGAATATGAAAAGACGTAATGTATTTATTAGCTAAATGAGGGTAATAATGAAAAAATATGTAGAAAAGATCTAAAACGACATTTATTTGACAAATAATTGATAAAGCTAGAATGACTTTTAAAAAAAAATAGAAGGGAGTATATTTTATGTTTATGTAAATAGAATTTTCAAATCTATTTATATATTATATACATGTATTTGTTGAATAGATATTTAATTTTAATATAGCAAAAAATTTTCTAAAAATAAAAAGTCACATCTTGACAAAGTAAAAAATGTTTTTAAATTTATGTCTTTAAAAAATCGTTGAAAGTTTTGAATTTTAAAATGTAACATCCCGCTTTTTACTTCTAGGCTTTTAAAAATCAGAATTAAATTTTTAATAAATTTTTGTTTTTCGAAAAACTTTAACTTTTATTTTCGAAAATGCTCATACTGACTCGCGGGATGTTATTAAACTCTACTTTTGTTATCTCTTCCTCATGAAAACATAATAATAATACATGTCACCTAATCAAGTCCATTTAATAAATATACCATGGAGATAGAGGTATTACACAAGCATAAGTTATTTGGAGTCTCATGATAACATACTGGGTCTGAATATGCGGAAGCTAAACATAATAAATACACACATAATAAATAATACATGTTCATAATAAATGACATGGAAATGCATGTAAATCCATTGCTCGTGACCACGGCAACCACAAATGCTCACGCGCCACGCTGGACTCCGTCACCTGAAAAGAAAGTTAGTGGGAGCGTGAGTAAAACCATTATGCTTTGCAAAGGTCGGTACTGAGTAAAACAATATCATTAATAACAATATCGTGACTTAAGCATATAAGTAATTGTACTGAACTGAACTGAACTGAACTCGGCTTCAAGCCGCTCGGCCCAGGCTCCTAATTCATGTGCACACCCCGTCTGGCGCAAATAAGGCCCGTTAAGGCCTCCAGATCAGGACCACATGTGGAACATTAAGGCTAAGTTCGACCTCTAATCTTGGGCGATAAACTTTTCTCATACATACCTCGAACATAGTACGGAAATTAAAGATGATGTGAAACCCAATACATGACCCCCACCTGATATGCTGATACTGCTAGGCAAGTGCGTGTTGCATGACTGGTAGCTTTCGGCGGCTCGACTCTCCTTAAGCTACATGATGGTTTGAGCAAAATATTCTAAGTATTAAGCTCAAATTGAAAAACTTGATTATTATTAATATTATTTGATCTCACTAGATTTGCTCGCTCGATTTGAAAATTATTTAATCTCGATTTAGAAGATTTATGAGCTAATCTGGGAAATTACTGTCTAGATGCTTTATAGAGTTTTGTGGAATATTTATTAAGTCTGGAATGTTTATCTGAATTATCTGAACCGACTTGCCTGATTTTTACCTGAACTAACTTATCTGACTTATACTGATCTGACAGGGTACAGAAAAATATTGAATCTCGGTTCACGCTCAAACCGATGTTCCAAACGAAACCTTCGAATCGTTTGTACTGTCTGGACTGATTCGACTAACTGGACCGGCGGCTCGATCGGAACTGATCGGTCGCTCGCCTAACTAAGTGAAACTCGGTTCAATCGTGGCCCGGGGACATACGCACTGACACAGCTCCGTTGACGTACGTCTTTTATATTCGAATCTGAAGTTTTATCCGGACTGCTTGGAAATGCCGAACTAATAATGTTTTATACTACCTGTTAAACTTACTCATTTTAATTTGAAACTTTAATCTATATTCAACATGATTTATCATGATTTTAGGCTCGACAACTGCAGCTAAATCTCGACCGAATAAATTTCTAGAATTATTGAAAAGTGAGGCTAATGTCCTAAAGTTTAAAGCATACCATGTTGGGAAAAATAAGCTGAAATTTCCATGAAATCGGATCTATAAAAGGAAAAAAAAATTGGACACACCAAAATTGGACACACTCGTGTTTACAAAACACTCTCAAACTCACTCACAACTCACAACTCAAATACACACAGAAGCTAAAATTCTTGCTTCTTGCTCACACCCTTTTTCTTTTTCTTTTTCTATCTTTTATGTTGTATTTGTTGTGGTGATTTGCCATCAGAATCCCCCTCAATTTATAGAGGGGGAAGTGTACATTTTTTCAACATAAGGCAACTTCATTTTTCAACACCCGGCTGTTGCATTATTGTCCACAAAATGCAGCTATTTTTTTCTCCTTTCTGTTGCCGTAAAAAAGAATGTGCACAACACCCAACTTTTGACTCAACAATCTCCCACTTGAGGACTGATTTTAATCTGTCCTCACATCTCAATTACTGCAGTAGTCTTATCCGGTCTGTTACTCTAGCAAGCCAACTGAAGTTGGACACAACTTTAGTTTGTCAATGGTCACCACCTTTGTTAGCATATTTGTTGGGTTCTTTCTTCCTACAATCTTCTTCAAAGTCAACACTTCATCCTCAAGAAGAGATCTGATGAAGTGATATCGTATGTCAATATGCTTAGTCCTCAGTGAAACACTGAGTTCTTTGCCAAATGTATTGCACTCTGACTATCATTGTGCAACACAATCTCTTTTTGAGTGAAACCCAACTCTGCTAACAATCCTTGAAGCCAGATCAATTCTTTACTGGCATCTGTCACTGCTACATACTCAGCCTTGTTTAGTAAAGATTTGGTGGACAAGGGATAACCGAGTTACCCGACTCGGGTCGATCTCGAAGGAAGGCTATTCGGAGCTTCACTTACTACTTGATTGTCCAAATCAAAAAAAAAAAAAAATAGAAAATAAAGTCCTAAACATTCTAATCAATTTAATTTGGAGGTTTGATTATCACTAAACGAGCACTTGAAAACGAGCAATTAACTAAGAGCAATATCAAATCACGAGCAAGTAGCAAACTAGACCATCGGAGTCTCATGCCATAACCACAACGAGATGATAATCAACGACAAAAAGGAATAAACGAGCTCTGAGCACTAGATTGCTAACCCTAGTCGTCTAACCTTAAGTGATTAAGCCTTAATCGGGTCTTAATCCTTAAACAAGATCAACAAACAATTAACTCCTATATCAACTCAAGCAAGCAATCAAGTCCCAACTTTCCCTCCATCATCAATCATGCTCAAATTTACCCTAATAAACATTATAAGTAAAGACGAGGCAAAAATCGAAGTAAAGAGCTTTAAAACTAAATACCCATTATTCTATTGTGTAGACGACGAAAAACAGAGTCAAAAGCTCAGAACTTGAGAGAAACCAATGTCGCTGGAAAATCTCCCGGAAAATAGCACGAACTCCTAGTCTAGAGAGCAAAACAAAAACATAAGCTAAGTTCCCAAAAGGGAAAAATGAAATAATGAAAGATGGATGTTCAAAATGCAAAGGAATAAGAATATTTATACTCTAGCCCCAACACACACTAGAAAAATGCACATTTAAAAAGACATTCTCGAGCTCTTCGCAAGATTCACGAGCTCGCTGTCGATGGCTTGCACAGGCGCACGGGTGGCGCGGGGTCGCGAGTGAGGTGGGTGGCACGGGTGCAGGCAGTGGCGCGCACTCTCGAGCACGTCGGGACATCCGCGAGGGTGCGGGCATAGGCGTTGGGACACTCTCGACCTCGCAAGGGATTTCGCGTGCGCGGGCAAGCAAGTGGCGGCACTCTTGAGCTCGCTGGGAATTCAGCGAGTGCGCGGGTGCACGGGACAGCAGGCATGCGGGCGTCGGGGTCGCGCACTCTTGATCTCGCGGGGCTTTCCGCGAGCGCGCTGGGTAGCGCGGGTCGTGAGCCATGGGGCACGGCATGTGCGAGCGGGCTGGCGTGATGTGCATCCGCGAGTGCGCGGCTTGGGTTGCGCGGTCGCGAGTTTTTGCAGCACGTGTCCAGGCTCGACTAAGGACTCGACATACTCGGCCGAAAATTATTCGTACGGATGGCTCGAAACTTCTCGAAATTCTTGGGATTTCACTCGACTCTCCTTATCCATCCTCTGAATAATCTGAAATTTCATCACAAATCACGAAAAAGTATGCCAAAAATATAAAATAAAACGAAAGACACAAAAACACACAGAAAACGATAAAATGGACCAATCGACACTAAAACGAATCTAAAATCGACTCGAACACACATATAAACACATATAGAATAAGCACAAAAACATAACAAACAAGCCTCTGTAGTGGATAGAGCAACAATCTTTTGTATCTGCGACATCCAACTAACAACTGTAGCTCGATAGTGAAAATATAACCGGTAGTGCTTCTTCGGTGATCAATTTCACCTCCAAAGTCTGCATCTACGTAGCCCTGTAACTTTAGATCTCTTTTTCTATAATACAAACATTTTTATGTTGTGCCCCATAGACATTTGACTGCTTTCCAATGAGCTTTTCCTGGATTTGACATAAACCTGCTAACAACTCCCACTGCATGACCAATGACTGGTCTCGTATAGACCATCGCGTAGTAAAACTTCCAATGGCTGAAGCATAAGGAATCTTAGCCATGAACTCTTCTTCTTCTTTTGTTTGAGGAGACTCATCCTTGGATAGACGAAAATGGCTAGCCAAAGGTGTACTGACTGGCTTTGCCTTGTCCATGTTAAATCTCTGCAAAACACGATTGATGTACTCTGTCTGAGATAACTGCAAAGGTCCATTTTGCTTATCTCTCGTGATTTGCATTCCAAAAATCTTCTTTGCTGGGCCTAAGTCTTTCATGTTAAAAGTCTTTTAACAACTCTGATGCCTTTCATATCTGATCCTGCTACTAACATGTCATCGACATAAAGTAGCAATATGATATATTTGGACTCATATTTCTTGAAGAAACAACAGTGATCAGTATTGCACTTATGGAAACCTTCCTTGTGCATGAAGCTTTCAAAATTCCTATACCACTGTCTTGGAGCTTGTTTCAGGCCGTACAAGCTCTTCTTCAATCTGCACACTATATCCTTCTTTCCTTCAGAAAAACCTTCAGGCTGGTGCATATAGATCTCCTCATCTAGGTCTCCCTGAAGAAATGCAGTCTTCATGTCTAATTGTTCTAGATAGAGCTCTTCACTAGCCCTATACTTAACACAGTCCTGATAGTATTGAGCTTTACAACTGGAGCAAAGATTTCAGTGACAACCAGCCGGGCTTTGTATCTCCTGGAACCATCATGGTCTTCCTTCACCCGATACATCCATTTGTTGTGAAGTGCTTTCTTTCCCATGGGTAACTTGACTAGTTCCCATGTTTGATTTGAGATCAAAGACTTCATCTCGTCCTACATGGCAAGCTCCCACTTGCTAGCATATGTGGTTTAACATGCCTCCATATAATCTTCAGGTTCTCCTCCATCAGTCAACAACATGTAGTCCATGTATCTCTTGTTAGGCATATAGGGTCGAGAGGACCTTCTCAATACATGAGTTGGGGTATAAGGTTCTGATTGCTCACCGCTTTCTTCATTTGATTTCTCTGACCGAGGATTCCTTATTATAGGAATGTCTGGGATATCTTCCGCCTCTGCATAAACTGGCCCACTCGCTTAAAATAATAAATCGAGACTTAGACTTACTATTTCTATCTCGTTTCTGAAATAAAAGTTCGAACGGTTTCTTCATGGCTTAGACTTAAAACTTAAAAAATTATGCAATTAATAATAATTAAATATGACATAATCATAAGCTTACTATTACTGGAAAATAAAGTCGAGCTAATATATAGAAACTAGTTTTACATAAAATCTTATCGCGCCGACCCGACAGGCTGCGGGAATGTCAGCGGGCCTCAGAATTCAACAATCGTTGGCCTCAGAATTCAACAATCCCGGGCCGCGAAACCTCGCGGACTGCGGCCTTGGGCAACTTCATGCTTTGTTACTCCCGCGGGCCGCGAGAGACTTCGTGGGCCGCGGGGAGTGTCGCGGGCCGGGGTATTGAGAAGGTTTGGGTCTATTCATCTGTTACTTTCGAGGGCCACGGGCCTGCCGGGTGAGGCGTTAGACTGCTATGCGCGACTTTACGTTTCGGGCTCGTTTGAGCTCGTCCGAACTCGGAATTGAGTTCTGTTTTTCCCTATTCGTCGCCAACAAATTCCCTTCTGGTCAATTACACCCACATGACCAATTTATCCTTGAAATCATATCCGCTCGAAACTCTTGTCTTGCACACAAAAAACGACGCACGCACACACACACGAAGAAAACAAGCAGCACAAACGAAAACACAGAAAAACCAAAGATAAAGAAAAACACGAAACGAAACACAAAACGGACTAAAATCGAAAGAAAATACCTAAAAATGGGAAAAAAAAGGCAAAACGCAACAAAAATGAGACAAACAATTATGTTTTAATACTATTTCCTATTGTAGAGGCAATTTATAAGGTATACTTTTTTTCAATGTTTCTTTTAAAATTATAACAAATTTACTAACTTAAACTATAAATATATTTAAATTTCATACTTTTTTATCTATTAACAAATTCTTTACATATGTATGTCAAATTAATCATGTCTTGATGAGTTTTGATTTGCCATCTATATTACAAATACAAAATAAATAAATAATTCATTTATCTATAATTAAAATTAAAATACCTATTAATATTAAGTCGAAAAATTAAACTAACTTAACTACAAAATAGTTATTTGATATACATAAAAAATTTAATATAGGATGT